GTATCCCGCTTTAATGGACGGTGTTGGGTTTTAATGGACCGTATTAGGTTTTAATAGACCGTATTGGGCTTTAATGAACATATTGGGATTCAATGGACCGTATTGGGATTTAATGGAACGTATTGGGATTTAATGGACGCATTGGGCTTTAATGGACTGTATTGGGCTTTAATGGACCGTATTGGGTTTTAATGGGATGATTGGGCTTTAACGGAACATATTCGGCTTTAATGAACCGTATTGGGCTTTAATGGACTGTATTCTGGCTTTAATAGAACGTATTGGGCTTTAATGGAACGTATTGGGGTTTAATGAATCATATGGAGCTTTAATGGACCGTATTGGGCTTTAATGGACGTATTGAGCTTTAATAGACGTATTGGGCTTTAATGGACCGTATTAGGCTTTAATGAACCGTATTAGGCTTTAATGGACCATATTGGAATTTAATGGATCATATTGGGTTTTAATGGATCATATTGGGATTTAATGGACCGATTGGGTTTTAATGGAATGTATTGAGATTTTTATGGATCCTATTAGGCTTTAATTGATCGTATTGGCTTTAACGATTCAATAATAATAATAATAATAATTTAAGAAAAATATAATAATTTTAATAATAATAATAATAATAATAATTTAAAAAATATAATAATTTTAATAATAATATTAGTGGTAATAATGATAATAATAATTTTAATAATAAGAATAGTAATTTTAATAATAATAATAATTTAAAAAAATAATAATAATAGTAATTAAAAAACCGGCGGATTTGTTCGCCAGAAATCGAAAATTTAAAAAATTTCAAGAAAACTGGTTAATTTTAAAAAATTTAAGTTTTTTAAAATATTTCCAACGGACTAATCTACTGGAAATAACAACATGAATAAAAATCCTATCTCCCTCATTTTGATCGCCGCCTGCGAAAACCACACCCCACAAATTCGATCGCGAGCTAAAACCACAAAACCGACCCGTAGCTGTCATCGACCACCCCTCACAGTCGCCTCGACTACCGCCGGCCACCTCGACTGCCTCCGGCCACTTCGACATGTTTGTAGGTTATGTTTCGGTCAGACCCTGCTTCAGATCTTGTTAAGATTTTGGCATACAAACCGTTATGTACGATATGGAGACACCCGTGGTTATTTGTAAACGGTTACAAGTTCCACACGGTAGCTCATGGTAGAAATCGCACCACA